CACTGGGCTTTTATTAGCAGACTTGATAGAACTTTGTAACTTGTTCTGATAAACAACCTTGAGGCTGTCTCACTGGCATTACAACTTGTGAACTTTCTTATCAACCCTGTAATCGTGAATTTTGTCTGTGAGCTCTGGGTGGCCACTGCCATGGACTTTAGACACCAGAGAGGTAAAACAATGTGAATTAAGACATATACAGAAGGATCTTAATTTTTCTTTTAGTGTTAGTGAATTTTCCCTGAAATTGCATCTCATTATCAGACATCACCCCTCGCCCTCCCCCCAAATTCACTTCCAAGAGTTGATGCCAACTCATAACAACTCTACAGGTCAGGGTAGAAGTATCTTTGTGAGTTTACAAAGCTGTAACTATTTACAGGAGTAGAAAGCCCCAACTGCGTAGTGGTTTTGAACTGCTGACCAAGCAGTTAGCCCAACATGCAACAGCAACACCGCCAGGGCTCCCCAAGACATCAAAGACAGGGTGACAGCTGCCATCACAATGCACAGAAGAAGGCGAAATACAGATCGGCCCTTGGCTAAGGTTAACACGACTGCTTGAAGGCTGTCGTATGCCTTGCCTGCAATCAACTGGCATCAGTTTATTTGGCGGCTCCCAAACCAAATCAAAGACACTGCCATCCAGTAGATGTTGACTCATGGCAGCCCCTGTGGGTTTCCCGAGACTGGAACTCTTTATAGGAGTAGAAAGCCCTGTCTTTCTCCCGTTAAGGGACTGGTGGTTTCAAACTGCTGACCTTGCAGTTAGCAGTCCAACCTGTGCCACCGGGGTTCTATGAAAACAAACAATTCCCTGCACCAATTTGATGCCGGCTCAGAGCGACGCTAGGTCAGGTAGAACTGTCCCTGTGGATTTCCATGACTACACCTGTTCATGGGAGTAGAAAGCCTAGTCTTTCTCTTGCAGAGCTACTGGAGGTTTCGAACTATAGACCTTACCGTTAGCAGCCCAAAGTGTAACCACTATGCCACCAGAGCTCCTTAGCGATCTATTATGGAACCCTCCAAAACCCACAGCCATCCAGTTGCATCCAACCCAATTCTGACTCAGCGACCCGCTAGGATGGGGTACAATTGCCTCTTGTTGGTTTCCAAGGCTGTCACTCTTCACAGGAGTAGAAAGTGTTGCCTTTCTCCCACGGTGCAGCTGGTGGTTAACGGCCCAGGCTTAATAGCTAGGCACTAGGGCTCCTAAGTCCCACCCATAGCGACCCTATACCGGGTGTCCGAGGCTATCAATCTTTAT